GACTTTGGCTTTTGGAAGATGCAGATTGAAGATTTTCTGTACCAGAAAAATCTATATCAACCTCTCTCAGGAAAGCAACCAGAGGGCATGAAGAATGAAGACTGGGCTCTTCTCGACAGACAAGCCCTCGGAGTTATCCAACTGACGTTATCCCGCAATGTTGCTTTCAACATAGCAAAGGAAAGACCACGGCGGGTATGGCGGCTCCCTCCAGTATGTATGAGAAGCCATTAGCCTCAAACAAAGTGCACTTGATAAGGCGATTATTCAATTTGCGGATGACAGAAGGAGCATTGATGGCACAACACCTAAATGAACTCAACACAATCACAACTCAGTTGAGTTCAGTGGAAATTGAATTCGATGATGAAGTTCGAGCTTTAATTCTCTTATCATCTCTACCAGACAGTTGGAATGCTATGTTACAGCAGTTAGCAGCTCGTCGGAAATAGTAAATTGAAATTCGACGATGTTCGGGATCTGGTACTGAGCGAAGAAATTCGACGGAGAGAATCGGGTGAAGCATCAACCTCCTCAGCCTTGCACACGGAGTCCAGAGGGAGAACTTCAGAAAGAAATTCAAATCGTGGCATATCGAAATCCAGAAGGGGAAAATCAAGAACAGAAAATAAAGATTTTACCTGTTATAATTGCGGCAAGAAGGGTCACTTTAAAAGAGATTGTCGAGCACTGAAGAAAAATACCGGCGCACAGGAATCTGCCAACGTGACAGAGAAGACAGGTGATGCCATGATTCTAAGCGTCAACAGTCCGATTGAATCATGGATCTTAGATTCAGGGGCATCTTTCCACTCCACCCCTGCCGAGAAATCATGGAAAATTATGTCAGTGGTGATTTTGGGAAGGTTCATCTAGCTGATGATGAAACCTTAAGATCGGAAAAGGAGACATCCGACTAAAGTTGCCAAACCAAACCACCTGGACGCTGAAAGAAGTGAGACATATTCCTGGCCTCAAAAGAAATTTGATTTCTGTAGGACAGCTTGATGGTGAAGGATTTAGCACAACCTTTTCAAGCTGTGAATGGAAGATTACCAAAGGAGCACTCGTCATTGCTCGTGGTAAGAAAACTGGTACTCTCTATAACATCAAATTTAGAGAATATCATTGCAGTAGCAGATGTTGATGGAAAATCAAACCTATGGCACCAAAGGCTTGGCCATATGAGCGAGAAAGGGATGAAGACACTTTTTTCAAAGGGGAAGCTGTCGGATCTAAAGAATGTAGATGTCGGACTATGCGAGGATTGCATCTTTGGCAAACAAAAAAGTCTTTGCAAAGATGGTAAGACACCAAGGCTGAAAAGTTAGAGTTAGTTCATACTGATGTATGGGACCATCTCTAGTTCCATCTCTTGCAGGTCTCATTATATTAGTCACCTTCATCGATGATTCTACAAGGAATGTGTGGTTATTTTCTGAAGAAAAAATCAGAAGTCTTTGATACCTTCAGAAAATGGAAGGCCATGGTGGAAAATGAGATTGTATGAAAGTAAGCGGTTGAGGTCTGACAATGGAGGAGAGTACAGAAATAGGAGATTCAGAGATTTTTGCGCAAACAATGGGATCAAGATGGAGACAACATTCCCATGACACCGCAGTAGAATGGCGTAGCAGAGCGCATGAACAGAACTCTGAATGAACGTGCCAGAAGCATGAGGATACATGCCGGATTGCCCAAATTTCTATGGGCTGAAGCTATCAACACTGCAGCTTACCTGATCAACCGTGGGCCCTCAGTTCCTTTGGATGGCAGAATACCAGAGGAAGTTTGGAGCAAGAAAGAAATAAATCTTTCACACTTAAGAGTGTTTGGTTGTATTTCTTATGTACACATAGACTCTGCTGAAAGAAGTAAACTTGATGCTAAGTCCAACAAATGTTCCTTTGTTGGTTACAGCGGTGATGAGTTCGGTTACTGATTTTGGGACTATGAAAATCGAAAGATCATTAGAAGCAGAGATGTCATTTTCAATGAGAATGTGATGTACAAAGACAGGTCAACTGTAGAATCAAGCAGCTCCAATACCAAAGCTGAAACAAAGGAATTTACTGAGTTTGAGGAGATTTCTGGAAATGATGTTCAGATCAGTCCTGAAGCAGTTCAAGAAGAACCAGGCACACCGGAACTAAGACGCTCCTCCAGAATTCCTAAACCAACCAACGGTATTCTCCTTCTTTGCACTACTTGTTGCTGACTGACAATGGTGAACCAGAGTGCTATGATGAAGCAATGCAAGTGGAGGATTCAGTCAAGTGGAGTCTTCCATGAAAGATGAGGAACTCGCTTTTATCAAATCAGACGTCTTAGCTGAATTACCACCAGGCAAGAAAGTGCTTCACAACAAGTGGATTTACAGGATCAAAGAAGAGCACGATGGGAGCAAACGCTACAAAGCGAGATTGGTTGTCAAAGGTTTTCAGCAAAAGAATGTATTGACTACAATGAAATTTTCTCTCAGTCGTGAAACTGTCTACAATCAGACTGGTGTTGAAAATTGTAGCTGCAGAGGATTTACATCTTGAGCAGTTAGATGTAAAGACAGCTTTCTTCATGGTGATTTGGAGGAAGAAATCTATATGAGGCAGCCATAAGGCTTCATAGAGGCAGACAAGAAAACCTGGTATGCAGGTTGAAGAAGAGCTTGTATGGTTTAAAACAAGCTCCTAACAGTGGTACAAAAGTTCGATAGTTTCATGAGTAGCAGTGGTTTTACCAGATGTCCAAGCAGATCATTGTTGCTACATCAAGAGGTTCGACAATAGCTTCATTATTTTATTGTTGTACGTTGATGACATGCTCGTTGCAGGCTCAGACATGCAAGAGATTATAAACTTGAAAAAAATTGTCAAAGCAGTTTGCTATGAAGGATCTGGGCGCTGCATAGCAGATTCTTGGGATGAGGATCAAGAGAGACACAAAGTCAGGGACTTTGATATTATCACAGGCTGAGTACATTAACAAAGTACTCTCCATGTTCAACATGCAAGATGCTAAACCAGTAAGTACCACCTTTAGGTGTTCATTTCAGACTCTCCAAAGAACAGTCACCAAAGACGGAGAAGAACGTGCACACATGGTGAAGGTGCCGTACGCCTCAGCGATTGGAAGTCTGATGTATGCCATGGTTTGTACCAGACCAGATATTGCTCAAGCAGTGGGAGCTGTTAGCAGGTACATGAATAATCCGGGAAAGGTACACTGGGAAGCAGTCAAATGGATCCTCAAATATCTGCGGGGTACCACAAACAAAGCACTTTGTTTCAAAGGTGGAGATACGATACTGACAGCTATGTAGATGCTGACTTAGCGGAAATATTGACATCAGAATGAGCACTACAGGGTATGCCTATACTCTAGGAGGAACCGCAGTGAGTTGGGTTTCTCAACTACAGAAGATAGTTGCTCTCTCCACAACTGAAGCAGAATATGTCGCTGTTACGGAAGCTAGCAAGGAGATGGTTTGGCTTCAAAGTTTCTTGGAAGAGTTAGGCAAGAAATAAGAAAACAATGTCTTGTATTGCGACAGTCAAAGTGTTATACATCTAGCAAAGAATCCGTCTTTTCATTCCAGGACAAAGCACATACAATTGCGATATCATTTTATCCGGTCTCTTCTGGAAGATGAGATTTGAAACTTGAAAAGATCAGTGGAGCTCAAAATCCGGCAGATATGTTGACAAAGACGGTGACTACAGACAAATTGAAGTTGTGTTCAACTTCAGTTGACATGCTAGAATAACAAGACTAGAAAAGCTGTTGCATTGATCGAGGTGTGAAGACAGATTAAAATCAGTCTTCAAGTGGGAGATTGTTGAAAGTATTAAAATGGTTTTCAAGTTTGGTAAATGTTTCTTTGAAAATAGTTTTTCAAGTTTGGTAGATGTTTGTTGAAAAATGATAATAGGATAATCAATTAATCCCTAGGTTTTAGGGTATTTACAAGATTAAGTCCTTAAGTTTCAACTATAAATACCCTAGCTCATTTAGCTTCAAAACAATCCCAAAAATCATTTCTTTCTCCCAATACTAGAGAGCTTTCTTGTGAGTAGTGAGTGTTTTGTAAACACTGTAAATTTTCTCTTTAGTAAAAGATCTGCAGCAGTCCGGAGACGTAAGCACAATTGGCTGAACTCCGTTATCAATTTCGAGTATTATTTTTCCGCTTTTATTTCGTATTCTCACTAATCTGACTATAGGGAAATTACTTGTTACTGGTTTATTTCCCAACATCTGCAACTGTTGCCAACCTATGCATTCCATTGTCAGCTCATCTTTCCATGTTTTTTTTGAAGAATTTGTGTATATTTCATTCATTACTTGTTCCATAACTTATTTTAGTTTTACATTTTACTCAGGTTCGGGTTTTGTTTTTTCTTTATAAAAAATTACATCTTTCTTCTTTCTCATACTAAACTCTGATCTGGGTTCATGTACTTGCAAACTAAACAACAAGATGACATGAACTCAGGTATTATTTTAGTTTAGTTTGCAAGTAATATGAACTAAAAAATATTGTTGTATTATATGTAGTATTATTATCTTAACTGCCCCATGCACTCATCGATTGGTTTGGTTTTGAGAGTTCACAGTAAACATAAACATTAACATACCTGAGATTTCATATAATGTTATGGGGCAGTTTAAGATAATAATACTACATATAATACAACAAGATTCATTGTATTTCAAAGCTGGCGATGAGTGCATAAAAGAGATACGCTTACATACACTTGAATTCAGTTCGAATAACACATAACCACATTTTTTTATAAACATCCAAATAGATTCAAACCGAATTAAGTCGCACTTAATTAGATCGGATCGGATTTTTTTAGAAACATTCAAACCGCAAATATTTATGCTTTTGGATTGGATAAATTTTTAGCTAAAAACCGATCCAAACCGACCGCGAACACCACCACTCACAGTATCTCACCGCTCTATAAATACTCCTCTATTATTTGCTATTTTTTCTTAGATATATTTGGTTGAAAACAAATAATGGAGTTTTGAATCCTCTCACTCTCTCCTTAATCAATTTAGGGTTCATATTCTCGCCGAATCGATCAGATATGGGAGGAGGCAATGCCCAAAAGTCGAAGATGGCGCGTGAGAAAAACCTTGAGAAGGCTAAAGCCGCCTCTAAAGGTTTCATTTTGTTTTCTCATCAGAAACTAGAAAGAAATGTATAAACTGCCGATTTTTTTTCACTTTCAGATAATTTGATGCTTCCATTGATTATATATTTTTATGTTTTCAGGAAGCCAGCTAGAATCAAACAAGAAAGCTATGACGATTCAGGTAATTTGGTGTTCATATAATTGTTTTTTTAGCCTTGTTTTATTTCGGTTTGCCAATTCTTTTATGGGTTGCAATTGCTTTATCTTTTAATATTCCCTCCGCCCAAAACATGAAGATATTTTGGTCTTTCTTTAGACATGAAATGGTTCAATGGTATTATTTTGTCCCTTCAAATAACCCTTAAAACTAACATGCTCTTTATGAAATTGACTCCTAGTGCTCTTCTCAAGTAAGTAATTATTCTTCATGTTTTAGAATGATCTTCATGCTTGTGTTTACAATGACAAGTTGTCTTTGGGCAGTGACCGAAATATTAAATGCAGTTCTTAGTTGAAGTGGCTTTGTTTGTTTTCATGTATATGTTTAGTCTATGAACTCTTACGTTAGACTCTTTTATGTAAGCACTCTTAATGTTGGGGGTTGGTTCCCCCCCCCCCCCTCTCAATCTCTCTCCTATCAGGCTATGGATAGAATGTTGAGTTTGATATAGAAGTACTCTGTCAGTGCATTGTTGGGAAGACATGTCTCTGCATTATTTATGAATCATTTGTGAAAACTAGTGGTGTGGATGCAGTAGTGAGTTCCAATCACATTTAAGCTTTTACAGGATTCTCGTATTATTGTGTTGTTAGCGAGGAGATGAGGACCTCTATTTTGGTAATCGGTTATCGATAAACATACTAGGCATGTTAAAGATGTTATTCTTAAGTACCTGCTATTTGTAGATTTTTAAACCTTTAACAGATGAGGCTGTAGTGAGAGGAAAGCATTATTTGAACTTGGGACGCAGATTATTACTTTAAAATCCAGCCATTCTACATACGGATGTAGTTGAAGGAATTGCAATGATTTAGCATTTGAGCTTCTTATCTGTTTGATGTTCAATAGGTGGTTGACCATAACGATTTATTCGTGCAAAATGCAGTGCAAGGTATGCATGCAGACTTTTATTTGCACAACATCTGAGGTGAAGTGCCGGGAACATGCGGAAGCAAAGCATCCAAAATCTGATGTGTATGCATGTTTCCCTCATCTGAAGAAGTGATGTAGCTGGATCGAATGTAGACTTTTAATTTGGATATTAGTCATGTAAACTCTCAATCATGATACTAGGAAGACGATTTGTGCACCTAAAGTAAGGAAAGACTGATTCTCAAACCCTTTCAAATGGATAAATTGAAGACTGGTCCATTCCTGCGTCAATGTTGTTTATTAAAGCTTTGTTTCTAGAAATTTGCTGTCGTGAACTTGTTGAATTTCTCGTCATTACTCCCATTCTGTCGAACATAGACCACAAAAATGCTACTTCTAGTCCGGGGAATCCAAGACCTGACTTAGCTTGAGGTCAAGTCGAGATGTATGCTTTCAGATACCGTAATTAGCGTGAGTAATAATAATAATAGATAAGAAACAAACAATTTTTAGAACTTCCGTATCTTAAGAAAGTATACTTTCGTACCTGTGCCTGTATATGTAGAAAATACTTTAGCATTTGTATATCATATATTTAAATAATGACATCATCTTTGAAAGATTATTTTTGCAAGGGACGGGGAAGGGTTGTTTGGGATTAAACTAATAATACCAATTAAGACTAAAGCAAGATACCTTATCAACCCACAACATACTTGATCACTGGAAGACCTTTTAAATGCATGAAATCTTGAAATAAACTGATATTTTATGTTGACATATGTTCATGTTCGATATATATCATGGAAAACACTTGGAAGATAATCAAAAGTTAAATGCTAAGAAAAACATTTATGTTTCCAAACAAAATGAGTTATTTTATGAAACATAAAGCACGGTCAGTCATCCAGCCGAGTCCGGGCTCCACTGATGTACAAATAGACCCAAAGTGAATGGGCTACTGAGTACGCATCCTGCAACTCTCAGTTGTCCTCACTTGAGAAAAGTAAGGATGGGCCTACAGATAAATCAAATTGTAGAATGACGTTGAGCATTCATAAAACACTATGTTTTTTCGAACCCGACGGGTTTTTATATATGTATAACTGTAAGCTTATATTGATCTATACCATAGCTTCTTTTGCAGTTGGTCTTTCCTGATGATCATATCGAAGCAACTTATCTAGAAAATTGATTGCCTGCAAGTCAAAAGAGCTTAACAGAGCTTATTATATTCAATTCCAAGACGTTCGGCTGAGAGAAAATTACCTCTGGCGAGACAAGATGCTGATTATTCGCATTAATGAATTTGGACCAGTGTTTTCGAATGTGCCTGAGCAGTGAGCAACATATCAATACATTAATGACACGTTGATTTCACACTATAAATCCTAACCAGAGGGATATAATCTGTGTGCAAACCTGGATCACTTCGGTGTGCAACGCTTTGTTTAGTGTTACCAGAGGGATAAGTTAATGCTTAATGTACCTTCCAACAAGAGCCTCAAGTTGAGGATCAAGCTCTAAATGATATTTATTCAGATATACATTCAACTCATCAGTTCCTACCACCTGAAATTACATTAATAGCAGCCAAAATCTCTGTAGCATTTTGGTAGACTCGCGATATATTGCTAAGAAAAACAGGGGGAAAATGTGAAAATAGAACATTTTGTTTGACAGTTCATGCAAAGTATCCCCCCGGTACCTACCTCCTACCAAGTGATAGTCACAAAGAGTATATGTTTAAATCAAAACCTACAAAGAGTGGTGAATAAACCTATGTTGCTCCAACTCTTCATTTTTCTTGAAGTACCTGTGTTTGACATCTGCGTCCGATTCATATCCGGGAATAGATCTGGAGATATGATCCTCAAAGGACCCTTCAAATACATGAAAATCTTGAAAAAAAACCTTGAACACACCCATGTCGGACACTCATACCCGAGTCCAAGAAATATAGGCATAAACAACCCTAGCAGGTACTAAAAAGTTTACAAAGTGATGCTCCAGATGTAGATTGTAAACAAAGGTAGATAACTGAGATGGACGAGTTACAAAGAGACAGACTAATAGAAGTTAGAAAATGATGCATTGTCCAAACCAAAATGTTAGTACTAAATGCGTAGTTTACCCAAAAAGTAAAAAGCCTCGCTTTATTTGACAAATAATAAATAGATTTAAATTTATATTTAGAATAATTTGGATAAATTATTTATATTATTTTTTTATTACAATGAAATTGATGAATTTACAATTTAAAATAATTGGGTCATTAGACAACTAATCAAAGTTTTCAGGCTTATGTTTGACAAATAATTTATGGACAGGAACCACTAGGATCTCGCTGCCCACCAAGAATTGCTGATAACTCAAGCTTGAAACCGCTCTGCGCTCATCGTCCGGTTAGCAAAGAAATAGATGTTGGCAGATCGCCAAGCCCTTCTCAGCTCCTTCCTATTCTGTGGACACTCACATAATTATCTTATTTTGATTTAATTATATGTATCTGATTAGGACCAATTATGTAACGTTAAGATCTATTATTTAACGATTCTTTCAAATCAATTTGTTTCATTTATAATACTATGGTTTAAATCCTGAACATTTTTTAGGGGACTTAATGTCTCATTCATCTCGATCAATTGATTATCGATCCTTTACATCAAATACTATATATATATTATGTTGCTTGAATTACACATGTAACACCCTCAGACCCGTACCCGACCCGAATACGAGTCTGAGGTGTCACATTGACTTTTCAAACTTTGACTCTTGACAAAATTCAAAGAAAATTTAAAACTTTCATTAAAGTAAAAGCGGTTTATTTACATAAATTGATCACAATAACCAAAATCGATCAGAGCATATTTAACTCAATCAATTAGTGCATGTCAATTATATTCAAAATAACCAAACACCTTTAAATTATCTATTTTCTGATCTGAAATTTTGTAAGGGAGATGCTGACCTGTCTGGCTCTTCTTCGCTTCTCTTATCGCTTTTGTAACATACGCGTGAAACAATCACACGCTAAGTCTATGACTTAGTGAGGCATAAACAAACCGACTATAACATATCATAACTAATTCATATTATGCACATTTCATGTAATCATGATAAACCAAAAAATGCATCCAAACATATATATATATATATATATATATATATACCATTTCCTTTTACCTATTATTATTATTATTGTTTCTCATGTTTAATATATATATTATACTTATTGCAATTTGTATATCATATACATACATATTGTTTCACAAAGAAATACCCATATCATCATATAATTCTGGTAACATATTTCCTAACACAAAACATATAAAGCGTATGTAATAAATTTCTCATTATCTCTTTAATAGTTTTATTTTCGTTCTTTATCTTTTAGTCATATGTTCTTATACTTATTCTTCTTAACCAAGCTATATACACATCACCATCATATCACATATATCATTTCACCATAAAGATTACAAACAAAGCACACAATATCATACAAGGTTCTTTTATATCATCTTCTTTATTAGCTCATGTACACATGTGAGAACTATAGATATTTGAGTCTATAGAGGTTGTTCACTAATGCTATCACCACAGCTCGTATAAATGCACCGAAGTGCCACGTAGAATTGCACCTAAGTGTCGCGTAGAAATGCACCGAAGTGCCGCGTAAAAATGCACCGAAGTGCCATATAAGATTGTCCCTAAGGACCACGTAGAAAATTCCTTAAGAATCATATACATATGTCAATGATCAAGTATGTGTCTCAAAAGACCTCACACATGTTCCAAAGAATACATATATGTCCCGAAGGACCGTGTAGACCCTCGACTCTTGGCATGCCAACTATACCCCTAGCTCTCATGACACATATCATTGGCATTATCTTTTATATCCTTTTACATATTCATGTAAACATATCACATATTCATATAAACTCGTAGCTTCATTCACATATACATTTAATCACGTAGTTCATGTAAATTCTTATATCATTTCGTATTCATGTATCACATGGTATATAACACTTCTCATGTGTTCCTATAAACATATCATATCCTATGACTTATATCTTTTCGTATAATTTATGCTTTAATCTCTTATATTCACCTGATTCAATATCATTTAATTTGTTTCACTTTCTCATATCACATATACTTTCTCTTTCATATATCTAATGTCATGTATCATATCTTGTAATTGTGTAAACATGTCTCTTTAATGTAATTTACATAGTAATGCCCTATATTTATATCATATAATGATTTAACCTAAGTCATCCTTTATAAAGTTTATAATACATGTTCAAATAGTCTCATTCTATCCTATAAATAACTTCTACTTATCTTATCTCATTTCCCCTTTCACTTACATAATTCATATATATATACTAATTTAATCTAATTTCCCATTACTTCATACATATACTCTTTCATAAAACTTTGTAACTCTTCACTTTATAATTCATAAACCATAGTTTCCTTTAACTATATAAATCTTCCCTATATAACTTATGTATCCTTATTTATGCATATGCCCTCGAATTAATATCGTCCTCATAGAGTCTTCTAACCTTTCTCGTGTAATCACCTATACCATATAATATGACTTATATTTGATTATCTTATGCTCACTCGTTCATTTCATTCCTTATGTCTCTATCATATAATTTATTTCATGTTCTGCCATTATTACATTTTAGTGTTTTACACAAATCCTATAGCATATACAAAGCATATCAATATCTTTAATTATACATACATACAATTAATGTAAAATATATATAATCACATATAACACATATAATAATAACAACCACATAATCTTATTCATGACTTCATGCATATCATTCTAGGAAATAGACTCACCGCAAATCCTATTTCCATTAAACAATACATGTCACTATTATGCACTCACCTGGCCTCACTAGTCAATTCCAATCTCTTATCTTTCCCCTTGATCGATCTTACTTGCCAATGATTCATGAACTTGTTTAGGCTCTGAATCTACATAATTATACATTTTAAGGCAATTATCAGATACCTACACCTTGTAATCTGATGCTAACAACTTAAATTAACTTAATAAACTAATATTCATTTTTTCCTTCAGATGTGTACCGATGAACTATAGGTGCATCGGTACCCAAAATAGCTTCGAAATATTGATGCATCAATGCACCCCTTACTGCATCGATGCACCCCTTACTGCATCGATGCACCCCTTACTGCATCGATGCACCTTCAAAATTTATCTTGGTGCATCAGTGCACACTCATAGTGCATCGATACATTCCTGGCATTCGATGTTTCTTCTTTAAAGAGTGCATCGGTACACTTTGAATGTGTACCGATACACCTTGCCCAAAAATTACTCTGTAGGCACGACAATTCACTCTTTCATCTTAAAAAATTCATGATTCATCCTCTTTTATAATCCTAACTTACATATGCATGCTTAGATTCATTTTATTCATTTATCTTGTCTTTAACCTTAATATCCTCTCCTCTTTATTAACTTAAAGAAACATACCAAATTTTTAACATGTTTTAAAACTCATTCTATCACTTCACATCTCTTAATTCAACCCTTGACAAGTCAAATTCAACTTCAAAATCTATTAACTCCTTTTATTTCAAAAATTCACTTAAAAACTCATTTTTCTTAATTTCTCATAACTTGTTAATCTTTGAGTTTTAAGCCACCTAAAGCTTTTCTTAATCTTTCTTAATATCCCAAGAATCAAAACAAGCTTTAAAACGAAAGAATTAACCAACTGAAGACCCACTTACCTTATACCAGGCTTCACGGTGGAAAGGAGGATGAAGAAGACTGAAGAATGCTCTGGAGAAATTATCTCCTTCCCACGTGCTTATTACCTTTTATAAAGGGAAATAAAAATCTTTCCTGAAAAATGACCATAATACCCTTATTACTTTCAAACTTTGTTATTAAATCCAACATCAATACTTTTCATTTAAATCCCTAAACTTTCAATCTTTTCTGAGATTGATCACTAAATTACCAAAAATTCTATTTTGGTCATTGAACCATCTTTTGGGATGTTACAAATCTCCCCTCCTTAAGAAAATTCGTCCTCAAATTTTCATTGCATACATTTATAATATCATGTCTTCTAATATTTTCATAATGCTTCCCTTTCTTAATCTTTCCTGTTACCGCTAGCAAACTTACCATTTTCCCCAAACTCAAATCTTCATATACATCCACATCTTTATAAGTCCGTATAATATCATTCATTTTATAGTCATTTATCCCCAATCCTTATTCCTTATTATTATGAACCACTTGATCTTTTTCACCATTCTCTATATGCTTTGCACATAAATCAAGTTTTTGCTCATTTCTTAATCCTTGTATGTATTACTATACACACAATCTTTTCCTATCACTTTATTCTTTCTTTCCTTCAAAATCAAAATCTTCTAATCCTTTAACATAATACACTTATCATCACATAAGTATGTTAGTCAGCACCAATTATTCTCATCTAAAACATAAACCTTCATCAAACCATTCATATATAATCTTTTTAGTCAGAATTATCTCAACGATAGTTTACTTAACTTATCAAATCCACATTTATTCTCATACGCCATATAATTTCCGTTGTTCCAACTCAACATTCTAACTTCTTTTATTTTATAAACTGATCACTGATGTACCCATTCTTAAACTCTTCTTATTAATCCTTAGCTTTACTCAAACATATGAATCCTCATCTTCTTCACTATGTCACATTATTATGATCAAAATATAAAACTGTATCCCGATCCACCTCATCTTTGGTTGTCTTATCCTGACAACATCTCAAAATTTTATATTTCTATATATTTTCCATCACATAATCTGGTTAGCCAACGCTAACTCTTTCCATCTAAAATATAAACCCTTATTCTATTCACATTCTTGCTTTTACACGGTATTATTCCTTTATTCCAAACTCATAAACTCTGGTTGTATATATCT